ACAGTTCATTTAGCTGTCAGAGTTCTTCTGGCAGGTCATTCCACAGTCTTGGGGCAACTGATTAAAAGGTCCTCTGAGTGGTTGTTGTCTCTTTTGAGATAGATTAGACTAACATTTGTCATCCTTGGAGCCTACAGGTATTTGGGACTTCAGCTCCTTCCCAAAGACAGCTAATACAGCTAGTGTTAAAGGATTTGGGGAACAGAAATCCAAAACATTAGGAAAATCAAGGATTGAGAACAACAAAATTAGACCAAAACACTGCAAATCTGCAACAACTACTCTGTGAGGATTTGAATCTAAATTTCATCCAAGCCCATTGCCTTTCCCCCTATTATGAAATAGAAGAACTGGAAGGCTAATATATGTCACAAGAGGAAGCAAATGAAACTGAGAAATGGTCTTAGTGCTTTGTTTATTTATTGCATGATATCTCACTTCCAATGATGTCAAGGTCCGCCTACTTAGTTCCTCTCTATCTCTTCATAACAACAGTCTTGGGGGTTAGGTTAAGCTGAGCTTGTCTGATTAGCAGTGGTCATTGGGTGGGTTTCACAGCTTAGAGTAGTTCATATCTTTTCAGCTTAGTGTGGTATGTTACCGATTTTGCACAGAGGGGAATCAGGGGTCAGGAAAAATAAGGTCACCCTGTCTTCTACTAAGAAACACCTAAGTCCCTCCCATCAGCTTCCTTTAATAAGCTCTGACAGACTACTTTTTCTCCTCTAGCATCATGCTAGTTGATACTTTGTGTGGTGCAATGTCTCAAGTCTTTCCTGCCAAATTCACAGGCTTGTGCCAGAAGAAGAGATGGATTTCTGCTGCCAGCAAAGGCTGTCACCTTTGATTGTTAACCTGTTGGATCTGCTGCAGTGTAAGCAGGTGCCACAGAGAATGAGAATTCTGGTAACCTATGTCCTGAGTTTTTTTGCACTTTCCACAGCTTTGCCTTTTCTCATAGGTTTTGATAGGGGTTGAATGAATGAATTTCATTGTTACCATCACAGTCCAAGAGTATGGTGTTGGAACTGTGTCAGGTCAGTGTGGTTATTGCATTGATGAGAAGACAGAATTCAAATGCAGAGAGGTCGTCAGGGGGTGAGGGCGAAGCTATTTTAAAAGGGTAAGGGAAGTTTTGCTGTTCTCGTTGCTGCAGTACTCAATGTTGTTTTCCTGTCAAGAGAACTGAAATATTTTATGTGCATTTATTTCCTTTCCTTGTGATTGGATATGAAGCCAACCAGTGTTCCCTGCCGTCAGGCTGTCTTGTCTTCCAATCCACAAGAGCATAAAGATGGAAATAATAATAATAAACCAGCTCCAATGCCCAGGGATACTCGCAAGCAACTTCCCACTTCCTCCCCAATGGCCTTTCAGCGAATAAGAGCATTGTCAACAGCTGGCTGATTATTTTTAGTAGTAACTGCCTCTCATTAAGAGTCTGTGTAAGGAACTCAAAGGAGCTGACTTTCTCCATAGCCCTCCTTTGCTTTGATCTTGTATTCTATCTTACTAAAGGACAAACTGAGGCAGGAATCAGCACATCTGGACCAGATCTCTAAAGCCTTGGGTATCAACCCCATATCAGGCAACTGTCTTTGGAGGTCCAACATTAGTCCTGTAAACAAAAGTGTACAATCTGTTTACTAGACTTTTCCACCAAAGAGGCACATGTTGGGCATCTGTGACTTGGAACAAACTGCTTCTTATAAACCTTTCCTTTTCTGCTTGCCTGGAGTAGATACTTGTTCACCAGAAGTGAACAAGAGGCTTAATTTTTTTTTTTGCAAATCTGGTTTAAATGGAGCGGTGTTTTGTTTTGTTTTTTTGGAGGGGGGCAAAGCAATTGAGCTTGGAGACCTAGGTTCAGTTCCCTGCTTGGCATGGAAAGGGAGTAGTGATCCTGTTTGCCTACCTTAACAGGATGCTAGAAGAATAACCAGATAAAGAATCTTAACTCCTTTTTCTATGCAAGGCACTTTATGTAATAATATTAATAGTATCATTCAGCTGGTCCTGCCCCCTGGAGAGGGTTGTCATGGAAATGTTTGAGACGCATTATTCCAATCCTATAGCAGCAGCAGGCACCAGAAATACATCCATCCTCCTCCCTACCCCTACTCAATCATAGGATCTTCTTTCTCTATGACTGAGTAGACCCTGTAGGTCATTAACATGAAGCTTCAGAGCCCTTAAGAATATCACCTTTCCTGTGTACCAAAGAAAAATCTCCTGTTTCATAATAACCCTAGAAGGGGGTTGCTGAGGCCTAAACAACTCCTGTTATTTACTAGTGGACAAAATCCAAGAAACTATTCATTTGGCTTCCTTCCCTTTGGGAACAGAAGCAAATGTCTCATCGAGTCAGGCAAAGCTTTGCCCCCCTAGGGGGAATCCCTGGCCTTAACCCCCACAGCATTTTTAATACTGTTTTCCTGTAGGGTCCAGAATCAGGCAGAAAATACTGTATTTGCTGCTCAGCAAATCTTTTTGGACAGGGAAATAAATAAAGAATATCTTTCTGCCATTCTCTAAGGAGGATGCAGTACTTTATCCAGACAAAAGCTTCTCTTCTCTCTGTTTTCCAGTTGATAGTGTGGGGTTGTTGGGTACTATTTGTTTTGAGATCTTGTACTTAGTTCTAGGTTTTGTACCTCGAATTTGAAGTAAGTTGCATATACATTCTGCAGAACAAAATGATATGCTCCCCAACCTCCAGACTATACTGCCTCAGACAAGGGACTTCTATCTTTAAAAGCTTTTCAGCATGGAAAGCTGGAAAGGAAGGATGCATGTCACAGGGAAAAGCTGCCATCTCGTGCTCTTTTTCTATGAAGAGATTTCCCATGAGAAAGCATTCAGAATGTAACCACTGTGGGTCCTCTTCCCCATACCCAAAAAAGACACCTGCAGCCTGAAAGATCATAGGGAAGCTTTACAAATAGATTCTGATTACATCAAATTGGTTTTTCTCCTCTTTGCAGTAGCAGAATATTTCAGGCAAAAAATAACAAGAAGCATAGAAGGTTAGCACTGCAATTACTACTTTTTGCACCACAGTTACTGTGCCACCTGCACTGCTCCTCCATGTAGTTTCAGTGAACTCGAGGATATGTACAATGAATGGGGGGATTGTAGGTGCCAGGAACGCTGACTCTGCAACCCTTGTCAAGTGATCCGATAAGCTACAGCCTTTAAAAACTGACAAGGCTTTCTCACACAAGCCTCCATCTAGAAGTGAACCAGCACTGGAAATGTAAGCATATTTCATTGTGAACAAATCCTCCTTATGTTTGTAGAACGTCCTTATAAGTAAACAGGGTTAGAAGCAAATAACTGCAAATAATTCTATTGAGTTTTCAAATAAACACAATTAAGAACAGGATTGGGAATTGCAAATGCTACTTTTTTGACCTTTTATGAGGTAGACACAAGTGCTCACACTTGAGGTTCCTCAGGATGTAATCTGTCATGGGAGCAAACAAAGTAATGAAAATTTCTTCTCAAAGATGGTTTATGTTCTGCTTGGCCAGTTAATATCTACAAGAAATATATGGTCATAGCCCATCTCAGAAAAAATCCCAAGCAAATGACTCCAAAACAGAGTTCCAATTCTTTGTCATACATTAACCTAGCAAGCCTTCTGTCTTGCAGCCAGACAGTCTATAGTGTTTTCCCTGCTGCCAGATAGAAGTCTTGCCAACTCATCTTTGAAATTAGTCAGTGTACTTTTGGACCTTGAAACTGCAGGTTCATTCTCTACCCAAGGATATTCCTTCCTGAGTTCTTGCATGGCATTCTGTGTGTGTGGTTTTCCTAGTCATTAGAAACAAAAACTAAGTAGAAGAGCAAAAAACGTTACCTTCAGTGAAACTGAATGCATTCAGAAGATGCTTCCCTAGCATCTCGTTGAATTGTCTCCTTCTCTATTCAGGAGTCTTCCCATTTTATTCAGGTCTAGTTCTGTCAAACTGTTTTTGTTTTGTTTTGAAGGCTTTTCAGTTTTTCTGTTCCAAGTCTTCTAGATGTTAATGTACTGTAAAAGAGTCAGACCTTTTAAAAATCAGTCAAATTGTTCCACCAACTAAGAATGGCCATGCACCACCACCCACAGATTCGAGAAAGAGGTATTGATCTGTCAGTTTGTGTCTGGGGTTGAGATGTTGTCTTCTCAACCTTTCTGGTTCTGCTTCCAACTAGTACTGAGGGACGGGGACAGGGGCAGGCATTCTTATGTAAAAAGCCAGAGAAATGAAATCTAGACTCTCCGGTAGTGGAGTTGCAGTATCTCAAAGTTTGAGAAAGTTACTTTTGGGGCTATCATTCTCAAAATCTCTCAGAGCCCTTCCACACAGCCCTATGTCCCAGAATATCAAGGCAGAAAATCCCACATTATCTGAGTGTGGATTCAGATAACCCAGTTCAAAGCAGATATTATGGGATTTTCTGCCTTGATATTCTGGGATATAGGGCTGTGTGGAAGGGCCCTGAGTGTAGATTCAGATAACCCAGTTCAAAGCAGATATTGTGGGATTTTCTGCCTTGATATTCTGAGATATAGGGCTGTGTGGAAGGGTCCTCAGTGGCCATACTGGCTGTGGGAGTTTGGCAATTGTAATTCAAACAAAAAGTAAAGTTCCCAAGTCATTCTTTTAATCTCTAGGCTTTTGCTGATGTTGGTGTTGAGAATGGTTCTTTCAGGCAGCTTTCCTCTAGATGTGTTGGACTCATTCCTTTTGTCTTCCAACATGACCATTGAACATTCTGGTAAAGAGRTGAGTCCTTTGTCTTGTCCAATGCCCAGAAAGCACAAAATCGAAAAAAGTGGCTTATARAGGAATAGTGCGCTCGGCCTGTTGCAGCAAAAATAACAAATTCTCAAGTTGTATCTAAAAGCCCCCCCCCCCCCATTTAAAGTAAAATGCAGCTAGAGATAGATATGCCAAGATAGAAAGAGGTTTTCCAAGTTAATTTCCCTTTTGTACTTTCTCTCCTGACAGTATCCGCAGTGTTATGCAGAAATACTTAGAGGACCGGGGTGAGGTGACCTTTGAAAAGATATTTTCTCAGAAAATTGGTGAGTATGAAATTATCTTTACCTTGGCCATGACTTCAAAGAGACACAATTCTCTGAGGCTAGGGTAGCCTCATGGAGGGAGGAAATGTCAGTGGGGCTAGGTACATGCAGAGCTGTTGTGGAGATGGCTTACTTGATATATGACTTTGACTTCTTCTTTGGATTTTGGGGCATTATTCTACAAAAGTGACAAGCACTGTGGCAGTCAAATACTCTTGCCTGAAATAAGTTACAGAAACCCTACCTTTCTTTGAGCATGGTTAACTTTATATACCAGGCGCAGTTTGTAAAACTGTAAAACACTTGGAGGGGATGAACTGAGAGCTAGACAAATTGGGGAAGAGGGGGAGTTGCCATGGTCAGCAAACGAATTCTGCTTCCTCTTGTGCAGTCTGTGAGAGTTCCTGTTCTGTCTTTTATTGGTAATCAGGGGGCCATTTGCTTCTCTTGAGTGACATTGGAAGAGAAACAATTTTAACACACCTGTTTAGGGACACATGGTTTCCCAAATCTTATTCAGTGTGATGCCATTCAGACTTCACCATTGGCAAGGGATAGTGGGAGTGATTACCTAGCCCCATCTGGAGAGCCACACATTCCCCAGCCCTGGATTAACTCCTAACAGAGTTAGGATGGAGGGTGGATCTTGGACCCTCAGCTAACCTTTTTTATCACATTAAGCAGCAGATATTCTGCATCTGGTGAAATTCCCTTGCTTCACAGCTCTTAATGATACATTAGGTCATTAGGAAGTAGGTATGGCAGCAAGTGTTTTCCTGGTAGGGCTCCTGTGGTATTAACAGATGCAGAGGAGTAAAAATTTAGACATTGAAAGAGTTTTGGCTCCCTAGTAAATCGAAGGATGGGGACAACTTCACCTGCTCAGTTTCATTTTGTCAGTTTGCTAAAGACCTGTGTAGAAGGAAGGCTTAAAAGACACCCACATCCCGCTACTCTGTCATTATCACAACCCAGAATGGGCAATTTGGAAGTCCCTCAACAGATTCAGAAGTGGAGTGGGCAGATCAAAAGACAACCTGACAAAATGGCACTACCTAAAAGAATCCCACACCTTGTGTGATTGTGGAGCAGAGCAGACAACTCTGCATCTGTATGCTTGTCCACTATGCCCTGCCTCATGTACAGAGGAAGAATTGTTGGAGGCTACAGACAATGCCATTGCTGTTGCCCGTTTTTGGTCAAAAGATATTTAGCTGCCTGCGCTCCTTCTATTTTTTCAGTTTTATACTAATTTATGCAATGCTTTTGATATGAAATAAATGAATAAACAACCCAGAATAATCAAGAAGCCCTGGTTAGGAATAGCTGGAAAGAGTTGTGGCAAAAGGGGCCAGCTAGATAAACGATGAGGAAAGTGCAGGTTTGAGAGGCTTCAGTGGTAAACTAACGAAAGATGTCTTGTGCGACACTGGCATGTTGTCCATACTGTGAGAGGTGTCTTCTTGCAAAGCTGTTTCCCCTTTCCGTTACTATACCCGCCTTTACAGGAAACACTCTTGCTTCCTCCCACACCCACGGCCACTTGTGGTTTCTGCATGACGTGGCCCGTTTTTAAACCCTCAGCCCGGCATGCTCTCCCTTGCTCCTTATTTCCCTTGTTGCTTTCCCAAGAGTGCTTTGGCTCTGCATTTCCCCCTTCTCACCTGGGGATGGGGCATGCGTAGCATTGGGGAAGGGTTTAGAAGCAAGAACCGTTTAGCCACAAGCTGAGCTAAAGGTTAACAAACATGTCCCTCAGCCTGGGCAGGTGGAAAATTGGAAGTTCATATATGAAGCCTTGGGAAATTAGTAACTATTCTCTAAGTGTGGGGTTCAGCCTTTGTCAACAATCCCTTTTCATTTGGTAACTTGCTAGTGCTAGTCTGGATAAAGATTTGTGCCTGTATTGTCTATGTTTTAAGATTGCAGAAGGATAATTTCATGGATTATGATTGTTTTAAGTAGATGTGTACATAGAGACACTGAGAAGCTGTGCCTAGTCACTCCTTATAACTGAAAAGCATGTATCTGCCACATATTGTACATTAACATGCTTTGGTTATTGTCACCTTCAAGCATGTGTGTGTTGTGAAGATAAGCTTAGGCTCAGGGAACAGCAAGCAAAAACAATATACTTCTCTTTTATTGTTGTTTGCTCCTGTGCTTTTAATGAAAGCATATAAATCCATTCATGACACAAAGAGCAAATGGTGAAGAAAAGTTTCTCCTGTTGTTAAAGAACAAGAGTGGGCCGAAAGGCTTGCCTTTGCAGAGTTTTTGTGGAGGTGGCTTACTCAAGCCTGCCGGCATATTGTAAATCCCAGGGATTTCTAAATTAGCATTTAAAATTATTATACCTTCTGAAAAAAATATAAATATCAAAAGGTGTATTAATCACTCTAAGAATAAATTAGATGTCAGCAGCTGTTTTGCACGGAGAGTCATTGCTTATAAGGTTAGCAAATCAAGCTTTCTTCAGCATGGTAGTATGTGATGATGAAAAAACCCCTTCAGACATGTTGATGTTTTCCCTCTTGTATTAGTAGTAAAGGCACAGTCTCATGTTAGAAATATAATAATGGCCACCAGCTAGATAGCTTTTTTTAAATAGGATGGTTTGTGGAAGATCCATCCATCATTAGCTGTAAACTGAAACCTCCATATTTGGAGGGAGTGTGTCTTTGAATAACAGATTCTGTGTAGACAAGCATATGTGACTGGGCATTGCCACAGTCTTGTATTATGGGGTTGCCAGGCTGCAACCCTGAAATTTATTTATTTATTTATTTATTTATTTACATTATTTCTATCCCACCCATTTCAGCCCGAAGGCGACTCAGGGCGGTATACACAGTTGGCACAATTCGATGCCGAAACAAAATACATACATTGATAAAGCAAAAACATCAAGTGCAATTAAACATAAACGACAGTGCATAATAAACAATGTTGCATATATTCTTTTTTTTCAGTGTTGAAGAAAATGGGAGGCTATAGATTCTCTTACCTTTTACCTCTTGTAATCAAAAAACCACAACAAACCTTACTTTACCCTTTTAGCTGCGTTGTATTTGGTTTCCTTGGGTTTTTTTTAAAAAAAATGCAGAGCATCCAGGTTTTTACTTGGATTGCTTCCAGATGAGGTCTTTATTGTGCAGTTGCCTTTCCCCTTTGGCAAAATTGTATACGGGATTCTGGTGACGCGATCTTCCATTTTTAATTCTCCAGTATTTTCCTTAGACTTGTTCTGTCTTTTTGCTTCTTGCAAATAACAAACAAAACAAAATCCATTAAGGAGGAAAAGATAGAAAAGTTGTGCATTGTCTTTTAATGGTAGTGCTAGGATCCATCCCGGGGCCATCTCTTCTGCTTATGAGCGTTTCTAGAATAGAAAATCTCACTGAACCACAGTTCGATTGTAATAAAGTAGCAACACTGTAGATGGTTTTATGAGCATTTTTGCAACATGATTCTTTTGATTAAGCAGGTTTAGGATTCCTCTAAGTTACTCTAGACCCAGGGGAGGCCTTTTTACTTGACATAAATGACTCAGGTGCCACAACAGTGCCTGTTTTTATTTTTATATATATAATCCTTTTTGAGCCTAAAATGTCATAAGGAGGCTAAACCATGTCAAGAATGCCCCCACAGGTAATGGGGAAATCAGGCACATTTAAGAGGGGTACTTTTTATGAGGGAATGTAACATGGTGTGCAGCCCCCCGTGAGCAGTCAGCAATTGATCCCAGAGCAGGGCTGCACAACATTCACCCTACAGGCTGGATGCAGCCCACAAAAAATAAGTCTAAAATGTGGCAGTTTTCCTTCTCCCCCTCCCTCCACCGCCAGTGGGTGAAATGAAACTAGAAGGGAAATAAATTGTTTTGGTTTTGTTTGACAGCAAAACCAGCTCTTGTTGCCTACCCACTTCTAGAGAATGGAGCAATTAGTTAACTTTGGGGAAGAAAGTGGAGGAAGTTCAGTCCTTAAGTGCTAACCACTGTAATGTATCTCTTAGGGTTCCTGCTGTTCCGCGACTTCTGCTTGAACCAAGTGGAAGATGCCAAACCATTGGTTGAATTCTATGAAGAGGTGAGGCCCTGATGACCAGACAGCATATTCTTGTTTTTCCAGTGTATTCAAGCCAGGATTGCCATCTTCGGCCTAGAATGCAAAAAGTTCAGGTTCCTCCTTTAAGGTGGGGCAAGGCCCTTGGTGCAAACTATTTTCAATATAGTAAGGAATCCCTTTCAGAAGTGGAATAGATCTATTCCAGAAGGAGGGAGGTGGAAAATGGGCAGGTGGTACATCCAGTGGTGTCTATCTGCCAGTGAAGCATAAGGAGTTGTTGGAATTGATTCTCCTGCCACACTTCCACCACCTATTCAGTGAAGCTGAATAAAAGACACAAAAGGAAATGAATGAGAGAAACCATAGTTTCTACTGGGAGGAATCTCTGCTTTGTGGCACAGGAAATAGTTTTATCAAAATTCTGAAACATCTTGTCAGAGGTAGAATATATAGGTAAGAAAAACTTGATGATGGCCACAATATTTTATTTATCACAAGGATGAAAATTGTCTGCCTCTTCAATTATTGGAGTGCATTTCTACCCCATTCTTCTCAACCACTGAGGGGGGACTCAGGGTGGCTTACACCAGCAACAATTCGATGCCGCAACTTACAGACAAATATAACAGCAATTTAAAACAATAGATAAAAGATTAAGTTAAAACGGTTTAAAACATTATTATCAAGCCATATAGCCATTTCCAGTCCAGTTCCACATCCAAAGTGCTATCATGCCTTCTGTCCAAAAGCCTGGTCCCAAAACCATGATTTAAGTTTCTTCCTAAAAGAAAAGATGGATGAAGCCAACCTAATCTTGCTGTGGAGTGAGTTCCACAGGCAGGGGTCACCACCGAGAAGGCCCTGTCCTTCGTCCCTGCCAAACGCGTTTGCGAAGCTGTTGGGACCGAGAGCAGGGCCTCCCCGGACAATTTTAAACTACTTTCCACCACTGATGATGCTGGAGAGGGCTGACAAGAGTTGCAGTTCAACAACAACACCCGGAGAGCCATAAAAGTTCTTGCATATCATTTATATGGTCAAAGGCTAGGCAAAAATTCTGTGCTGTAAATATTTTTTAAAGAAGTGTTATATTTATCATAATTAAAATAAACAAACTTTGTCCATTTTCTCCAGATCAAAAAGTATGAGAAGTTGGATTCTGATGAAGATCGAGCTGTAAAGAGCCGCCAAATATTTGATATGTACATCATGAAGGAGCTGTTGTCCTGCTCTCATGTGAGTGTCCTGCATACTTTCTGTCGTGGAGGAGAGTCTTATAAATTATGTAAAGCCAAGTTGAAAGCACCCTGAATGAGAATATAAAGCTCCACAAACTGATTGGGAGGTGAAATCATGGAGTCATAGAGTTGGATGTGAACCCATCAACACCTAGCTCACCCTCTTGCAGTGCAGGGATACACAACTTGAGCACTCTAGAGAGTTAGATAGCCAAACCCTATTTAAATATTTCCAGCATTGGAGAGTCTGCCATTCTCCAAGGAAGTCCACCTTCTAATTAAACTTAACCAGCTCCATTAGCCATTCCAAACCTTTTGCCATCTTGGTTGCCTTCCTCTTAACACATTTCCTGTTTGTAAGTATCCTTTTTAATCTGTGATACTCAGAAGTGGACACAGTACAAGCCTCAACCAAACATAATGGAATTGTACTTTGACATCCCTCAATGTGGACACTATATTCCAGCTCTCTTTCCTGTTCAGGGCTGGCCTTGCCCTTGGTGAACTGTTAGGCAGAGCTTGGAGCTGTTACTTTTTAAACCACAGCTCCCAGAATCTCCAGTCTTGCATGGCTAGCAACTGTGGGGAGTATTATAGCCCAAAAGATAATGTTCCCAAACCGTGGTCATATGCAGCTGCCTGGGATGGTACATCATCAAATACATCAGTTTTGCTGTTATGCCAGCAGCAGATTGAATGTCCCCCCCCCCCCTTTCTTTAGCAGAGATAGCTTATAGTTTCCCAGATTTTAAACTACAACTCTCATCCCTCTATTTACTATGCTGGCTGAGGCTAATGATGGGATAGTTCAAAAACATTTGGCAGGGCACATAAATTGTTCAGCCCCACTTTCCTACTTCAAAACAACTTGTTCTGCTTTAAGGGATGCAGAAGTCCCATACTTCTTTTTTCCTCCACTCTCTGGCACTATACCTTAAAATAGGCTGAAGAACTGGACAGAAGCTGGACATCCAGGTTTATATTTTTTTTTCTGTGTCCTCTCACAGCCCTTCTCCAAGACTGCCACGGAGTATGTGCAGAGCCGCCTCAGCAAAAAGCAAGTGCCACCTGATTTGTTCCAGGTAGGACCTTCTGAATAGACTAGAGTGGTCTTATCCAGTCTAGCATCTCATTGGCCTCATTACCGGAATCATCAGATTTTACAAGTAGGTTCTAGGTAAAGCAGAGCTCTGCGATGACATAAACTACAGCCACTAGAGATGTTGCTTCTCGGTATGTAAGAGTGACCCATCGTATGGCCGAAAACCTCATTCTTCCCACTATCAAACCTATTGAGGTCTGTCTTTGCTGCAGCACTTGTTAATGTTCTCATGCCGCTGCCTGGCAATGGTTTAACATGAGGGGGTATGTTGATGAGAAACAGGACAAGTGGGTGGGCAGTTTAATGGATGGTCCTTATCCTTGTTCCAACTACTTTTCCACCAGCTATACATTGAAGAGATCTGCCAGTGTCTGAATGGAACTGTCTTCCAGAAGTTCATTGAAAGGTGAGTCCTGAGTATGAGCTGTGGTTTGTGTATAAGTGATTTGAAACAAAATGTTGGGCTGGGCTCAGGATTCAGCAAGGTAGTTAGGCCTCTTTTGGAAATGCATTGTTTGTTCCTCTGTTCTCCTATTCCTGCCCCAAAACATACGCAGAAGCATTATTTTTGTACTTGTTGAACTTTCAGGGTTCCTCAGTGGATACGGATGCTTACTGATCCCTGGCAAAGTGCATTTGTTATCATCTAAGACAGTGTGGTGTATGTGTTGGTGGCTTGCTTTCTAGCAGAATGAGATATTTGCTATTTGATGGGATAGAAATATCTAGATAACACTATTGTGTTATCTAGATATTGTGAGTTATTTATGGGAAATGACATGGGAAAAGGCAGGCAAATATCATCCCCCTGTTTACTGTGGAATTGTGGGGAAATACACAATTATTTGAAGGTGATTAAGTGGGACAGTGCTATTTAGAATTTGCAAATTTACTTGAGAGTAAGGCCCACTAATTACAGTTGCACACAGACTCCCTCTATTTCTCTACTTCTGAATAAATGTCCTCAAGATCTACCTATAAGACAGCAATGCTTCAAACCTATGCAGAGATAAATGATGTGGAACACAGTGTGACTTGGTTCTACGTAAACTTCTTTATGATTGGCCTAGAGGACAGGTTAAAAATAAATATACATATGCAGATTATCAATGCATAATGTCTCAACTGACCAACCTTGGATCGTTGTTTTAAGTGAAAAGTCATATATGATGCGTTGAGCTCATTGGAGAAAAGGTGGGGGATATAAATTGAACTTTAAACATCACAGATTGAGTATCTCTTATACAAAATGTTTGAGACCAGGTGTGTTTTGGATTTAAGATTTTGGGGGTGGGAGTGGGTGAGAATGGAATATCAGTATTTGCATTTATTTATTTATTTATTTATTTATTTATATCCAGGTAGGGTCCGAGTTACAATCATCCAACTTACAAACAACTCATAGTTAAGCATGGGGGTGAGACAACAGGAAGTGAAACAACCCCTAGGAAGGGAAAATCAGTCCTAGAACAGTTACCTTGGGGAAAAGGTGTCTCCACTGAAGCTTTATCGTCAGTCTTTGTTTCCACCACAAGCCATTTTTTTCAAAATCCAATTATCACAGGGAGAGAAAGTGGGGTGAAATATTTTGAACAGGGGCACAGACAGCAAAACAAACACCAGAAGGGTCTTAACCCTTCCCTATGCTATCCAAAGTGACACTTAAAAATGGACCTGTTCCAACTTACATACAAATTCAACTTAAGAACAAACTTGTTGAACCCTATCTTGTTTGTAACTTGGCAACTGCCTGTATATACATACAGAGGTATCTTAGAGATAGAACCAGAGTCTAAACATGACTTGGGTTCTATTCACATGCCTGAAGGTAATTTGATACAATATTTTAAATAATTTTGTGCACAAAACAAATAGAGTATACTATCAGAAAGGAAAGATGTCACTATCTCAGCCACCCATGTGAATAATTTTGTATACATTCTCTCCTATACTTGCAAAGTTTTAATTGTTTTCCATGCCCAGTTCAAGAGTATTAAGGTGAAGAAATATTTATAAATGGAGATTGCTGGACTTGAGCAGTCTTAACAGAAAGGTGTGATGAAGGAGCTTTTGAGAAGTGTGCTATATTCATTGGAGACTGAAAGAGTGAGCTGTGTCATATAGATGAGAGAGAGTACATCTGTGTTCTCTCTATCATTCTTCCTCCCTCTCTTCTCTTTCAGTGACAAATTCACACGCTTCTGCCAGTGGAAGAATGTGGAGCTGAATATCCATGTGAGTGCCTGAGGTTGGGAGGGCATTCCTGAGGGTTGGGGTGATAAGGAAAGAGCTGTCAAAAGATACTAAGCATATACTTGCTTCTGAACAAGGCAGGGAGTGTAGGTTTGTAGAGCAAGGATAGTGTTAGGGTCTTAGGCACCATCTACACTGCTATATAATGCAGTTTCAGGATACAGATTATCTCCATTCAACTCAATTATAGGAGTCTACACTGCCATATAATCCAATTCAAGACAGTTCCTCTGGATCCAGCCTTAGAGAACGAACCCCAGCCCCAGAAAGCTCATAGTTTTAGAAGTTATATGAAACTTGTGGCCTTTATTTCACAAATTAAATGGAAAATATGAATGAGGAAAACTTGAACAGTGAAATCAGACAGGAAATACCCTAGTGACCTTCCAGGTTTTCTTGAACTCCCGCTGACCATGTTGACTGATACCTAACAACAGCAATGGCAATTCCCCATCATCAGATACACTGCTGGAATTGTGAACTGGACAAATGGAACTTTGTAAAAGGAGATGGAGGGCCTGATTCTTGCAGCACAAGAACAAGCAATTTAAACCAATGCCATCAATGCCAGAATTGAAAAGTAGGTGACAGATTCCAAGTGTAGACTCTGTAAGGAAGCAGATGAAACGATGGTTCACATACTCAGCTGCTGCAAGAAGATTGCACAGATGGACTATAAGCAGAGGCATAATACCATTGCTCAAATGATCCACTGGAATTGGTGCCACAATTACCATCTGCCTGTGACAAAAAACTGGTGGGATCACACAAGTCTGAAAAAGTTACACAAAATGAATACGTCAAACTATTCTGGGACTTCCAGATTCAGACTAACAAAGTGTTGGAGCGTAATACTCCTGACCTCACAATCATGGGGAAAAAACAAATATTGTCAATATTGCAATCCCAGGTGATCCCAGGTGACAGCAGAATTGACAAGAAGCAACTCAAAAAGCTTACACGATATGAGGATTTAAAGATAGAACTGCAAAGACTCTGGCACAAGCCAGTAAAGGTGGTCCCAGTGGTGATCGGCACACTGGGTGCAGTGCCTAAAGACCTTGGCCTGCACTTAAAAACAATCAGTGCTGACAAAATTACCACCTGTCAGCTGCAAAAAGCCACCCTACTCAGATCTGCACACATTATTTCCCAGTACATCACACAGTCCTAGATACTTGGGAAATGTTTGACATGTGATCAAATAAAAAATCCAGCATAGTGATCTTGTTTGCTGTGTACTAATCTTGTTGTGCATCAAATAACAACAACAACTTTATTCTTATACCCTGCCACCATCTCCCTGAAGGGACTCGGGGTGGCTTACAAATGGGACAGAGTGTCTACAAGACATAAAAGCAAAAACAATCCATTAAAATAAAAACACAATTAAAATAAAAGCATTATAAAATACAAATATCCAGATTAAAAAAAAACACTAAACAGAAAAGTATAAGAACAGATTACATTGAAGCTCCAGACAAGGTTCAACAAAACCAATGGCCAGAATTACTAAGATGGACATGACCAAGCTATAAAAGGGCCGGGCAAGGGATAGAGCAAACCATGTACCTAAGACTATATAGAGGACTACAGGTAACCTTGAGTCATGATTTAAGAGGTAGGGAGGTGAAAGAAGATGAGGAAAGCGGGGATGGGGCAAAAGGCAGTTCACACCTACTAAGCTAGCGTTCTGTAAGCTTAAGACCATCAAGAGACCTCTGTATTGCTGCTACAATGTTAGGGGGCCAAATGGTCTTCATAGCATGGTAACGTTTTGTGTTTTCCTCTTTCTCCTCTTTTTTTTTAAATTATTTGTCTTGTGGGATCCAGCTGACCATGAATGACTTCAGCGTCCACCGGATCATTGGGCGTGGCGGCTTTGGGGAGGTCTACGGCTGCCGAAAAGCAGACACAGGCAAAATGTAATTTTTTATGAGAATCCTGTGGGAACAGGCCTTGCAGGGATGGGCAATCAATACCTGGGATTATTTCCTCCCAGCAGACAAGGCAGCATTTTCCAGTCGAGGGGAATTCTCTGGACATGCTTTCTTTGCAGTGTCTCTGTCTATTTAGATATACTCTTATGCAACTTACCACTATGTGAAGAAGCATTTCTCCTTCACTGCAGTGAAAGTCGTCGTCGTTGTGTGCCTCTAAGTCTATTCCAGCTCATGGTGACCCTAAGGCAAACCTAATATGGCTTTTTAAAGACAAGATTTGCTTAGAGAGCTTGGCTTTTGCCTTCCTCTGACCATGTGACTTGCCCATTGCTACCCAGTGGGTTTACATTGACAAGTGAGGATTCAAACATTGGTCCCTGGAGTCCAGCCACTACACCATGTTGACTCGAAATCAGCTGGTCGTCAACACCAGTGTAAGCTGCCACTCTCCCTCCTTCACTGTTGCCACTCTTAGCCCAGCTGCAAACAGTCTTCTCAGAGTCATTTTACCAGCTTGTCTCTGTTTACTGGAGACACAGAGACAATGCTAGTGCAGAGCCATCCAAAGCAGTGTATGAAGTGTTTGTGAAAACAATGCCTGCCTGTGTAGTTACAGAGTTTATTCATTCACTAAAATTTCAAGGCAGCTGGCAGAACAGTGAAACCAAACAATAATATGTAGTAAAAACAAAACAAAACAAAAATGAAGTGGGAGCCCTTTAAATAAGAGGCAAAATGGGGAAACAGATGTCATTTAAAAAGCTTTAAAGGCCAAAACAATTGTCATCTGGTATCTAAAAGTTAGCAACACAAGCACCTGATGCAGGTGTTCAAAAAGCACATTCTATAAATAGGATGCCATCACCAAGGAGATCCTGTATCCAGTAGTCACCAGAAGGCCTCTCCTTAAAGATCTTAATTTCCAGGCAAAGATGTGTTGAGAGAGATAGTCCTCCACTCACTCTGGCCCCAGGATTTCATTTTCCTTTCAGTAACCACATAGCATTCTCTATCCCAGTCACCATAAACTAAAAAGGACTGAAGACAAGAGAGTGCAGTAGGGAAAGAATACTTGTATGTGGAGAAGTATAATTTGAGCCTCCATGATCTCTCAAGTAAAGCTACACTACAGTTACCTCCTGGCATGCCAGGCACGGAGAGGCCATGGATAGATCAAGGACCTTCTTGAGATAAAGCTCCTTTATACATCACTTGAGAAAATTCTTAATTTTCCTAAAACTATACCTTTCCCCACAGTCCCCCCAATGTAGGGAAAATAGTGGATTAACAATTTGGATCAGTGACTCCTCTCTAAATTTATTCATCTGAGCTGCTGTTCTACTAAGTGAAACTCAGAGTGTTCTTTTTGCCTTTTACTTACTGAGAAGTGGCAGGAGAATTTATCAGCCAGGATAGAAACAGATTTAATCCATTCATTAGCAGGATAAGCAGTTACTGTTGATGGGTGAAACAGAGGTAAGTGAGGAGGCTCACAGAATCATAGAAGCCACCACAGGGATGTCTATAGTAGATAGTTACTTGTGAAAAGCTGTAGAGTTTGGAGGAACCTGATGCAGTCACAGCAAGAAGTCAATATTCTGTTCAGGCTGGTGGAGGTGTGCAGTGTTACTGTGAAACTACAGAATGGAAAGGCATGCAGTGGGTCCCTGGGGTGGGTATTCAGATTGTTGTGGATGAATGGGCATCAACAAGAATGATTTCTCACATAGGAGCATCACCAATGAGATCTAGCAGGGATATGACCATAGATTGTTGCATCCTCTTTTTATCAACAGGTATGCCATGAAGTGTCTGGATAAGAAGCGAATTAAGATGAAACAGGGGGAGACACTTGCTCTGAATGAGCGCATCATGCTGTCCCTTGTCAGCACTGGGGTGAGTTTGACTGTCCTAAGCAGCTGGAGTTGGGGAAGATAGGCAAACCCCAAATCTGGCCAGTAGGGCAACTTGCTACAGGAGAGGGAACAATAGGTGACAAAATACATTGAGAGACATATGGATTTTACTTGTGGCTAAATGCAGGATAATGACAGTAGAGTCACGGCAGGTGTTTTGAGAAACATGTCAGCCCATTCAGAGGGAGGACAATGTGTGCAGGAGGTGGCACTGAGCATGTGGCTGGAAGTGTGATGCTTGCAGTAAACTGGCAGCAGGGCTGGGATGTGTGTAGGCAGCGCAGTGAATATTCTGTGCAGGAAAGGGGAGGAGAGGCTGTGCAATGAGAGTGAAGGCAGGAGCAGGGCATGTGAAGTACATGGAATACACAGTGGAGGGGGGAGCAGGAAGGTGGCTTGATGTGTAATCTGCACAAAAGGAGGTGGAAGCCCACTGTGGGTGTTCATGACGTGTGTGTGTGTGTTTCAGAGAGGGAGGGAGAGAAGCAGGAAGATTGTGTGATGACTGTGTAGGAGTTGGTGCAAAGCAGACTGCAGAAATGACAGAATGGGAGTGAAGGGTTAAAGGACGAGACAACAAATGGAAGAGGCAGCATTCATGTGTGGGGCAGAAGCTTGGGTGCTATGTTGCACAACCCAATCTCTCATTATTGTGTGTGTGTGTGTGTGTGTGTGTGTGTGTGTAGGAGAATGTAGTATATAGCCATCATGTGCCTGGGTGTATTGGAGACTGAAGAAGGGAAGTCTAGAATAGGCAGCAAGACATAAACAAAGTGCGATATGGGTGTGAGCAGAGATGGCACACAACATGTAACAAGAAAATCATTCACATGTTTGCACATGCATATTTTGTGATTCATTTCCCCCCTTTTTTCTGTTGTGACGTTATTCCTCATGTCTCTATTAGGATTGCCCCTTCATCGTGTGCATGTCATATGCCTTCCAAACACCTGACAAGCTCAGCTTCATCCTGGACCTTATGAATGGTGAGAGCCAAAATCCTACCTGTAGGTGCTCCCTTCTTCTTTTCCTCCTCCTCCTCCTCTTCTTCCTCCTCCTCCATGTCCTTCTCTAAGCAACCTCCCAGCTCCCATTGTTACCTCTCTGCTTCTTATCTTTGTTCATGTCCAAGTTGTATGCTTCACGTGGTCTCTTTTCTGCTTCCTGCAGGGGGTGACCTACATTATCACCTCTCTCAGCATGGGGTTTTCTCTGAGGTTGAGATGCGTTTCTATGCAGCAGAGATCATTCTGGGGCTGGAGCACATGCACAACCGCTTTGTGGTGTATCGGGACCTGAAGGTGAGCATGCACATCCCTCCAGCCAGACTTAACCCAGTCAAAGCCACTGTTTCGTGGCTCAATAGCACCAACCCCACATTTTCACAGTCATATTTTCCTTTAAAATGAGCCTGGTAGTGTCTTCAGCATCGGGATCCTTCAGCACCACTGTCTCACCCATAGAGAAAACACAGTTGTACAATCAGCTCAGACATTATGGGGAGAGTGTCTATCCTCTGCTTCTTCAGACAAAAAAGACTTGAAAATATAAGTGCATATAGTTCTGCCAAGGGAAGCAGAACATGTTCCTCATATCCTCGATAAAGTGCCCTGCTGCACAAAATACCTTGGGATTTGATACTGTGGATTATTAAGCCTTTTGACGCCCACTCTTTGAATCATAGTTGTTGCTTGTAATAAAAACTGCATGCTTGATTTGTGTAACCCTAGAGGATGTTCTATCTCTTTCCTTGAGTAAAATTGTGAGCGGGTTGGGAAGGAGATGCTACTAAACCCCGTCGCTACCAACATTTCAGACCTTCCTTTATTCTTAGCCTTTCACCCTGAAGATAAGGTTTCTGAAAGAAGAAGTATCCTGTACTTTGGGAGGCTACTTGCCATTTTAAATTACTGAGGAACTGCTCTGTAGTAAAATCTTCCTGATTTACATGTTTGCCATTCAATCTTTGGAGTCCTGATAATGAGAGAGAAATGAAGGACCAATGAACACTCCTGTGGCACATTTTGTTACATTGTGAAGAAAAGCAACCTCTGAATGGGAGCTGTGTCACAATCGCATAATGTTTGTCTTCAGTTTTTACTTAGATCTTTGTCTTCATGTGTTTGGCCAAAGCTAGAGAGGCCTCGTACTGATTTAATGGAGGAAGTTGTCAGATGTTCTGCTTCCTACCCCAACTCCACTTTCCCTGTAACTTTAATTTCTTGTCGTCGTCCCCCCGCCGTCCCCCATGTTCCTGCAGCCTGCCAATATCTTGCTGGATGAATTTGGCCATGTGCGCATCTCAGATCTGGGGCTTGCCTGTGACTTTTCCAAGAAAAAGCCTCATGCCAGTGTGTGAGTATTCTTGTTGTTCATTTATGTCCTGCATTCAAGGCAGCTAACAACATATTTAAAAATATACAGATCAAAAATTATGTAAAATCCTTAATAGAAGTATAGATAAAACAATTATTAAAAGCAATTAAATCATCAATAAAGTTAAAGCAGTAAACATTAAAATCATTAAAATATCATGTGCAAACCTTAAAAACAGCACTACACAGCATTAAAAGCTTACCCTAGTCTGTTTTTAAAACCCTGATTGCATAAAAATGTTTTCACTTGCTGACAGAAGGAGAACAATGATAAGGAATGGAATTCCAAAGTTTGGTAACAGCCACTGAGAAGGCCCTCCACTTTATTCTCACCAAACAAGCATTTTAAGGAGGTGGGACAAAGATGGGCTTCTCCAGAACACCTTATAGCTCTAATGGGCGGCTCCTATTTGGAAAGGATCTGGTCCCTCAACCACTAATCTGCTCTTCGGTTGCCTGTCCCCTAACTGGAGTAGTGAGACTATGAATGTGGAAATACTCTCACTTCTACTTCTATCTCAGAATCATCAGAGCTTCCCCTAGTCTGTTTAAGTAATTGTTCCAGTATTTGCCACATAGATACTGCTCTAGTATGCCTACTCCAGGCCTTTCTAGAACCCATAGGTTGGAATTTAGTGTCTGTGCCATGATCTTTATGCATGGAGGTCTAAAAACATAACCTATAATTTTGGAATCTGCTGTATGAGTCCCTCAGGCCTTTTTCATCCTTTGGTCATTCTACTCGTAGAGCTCTATGTGAAGAGGGCCTTGGGCTGCTGGGTTGGATAAAGTGGGCTGATCTACATATCAACCTGCACAAATATTTTTATTCTCAGGCTAGAATGGCCATTTGTTTTGTTGAGTGGACAATAATGCTATTTCAGGGGACATGCAGTTTCCAGTTGAAGCAGCTTTGATTTAGACTTCCATGGAGAGAAAATTCTTGCTGTTCACGATTAAAGTTCCACAGTACAGTGTAAAAAAGAATTATTACCTATATCCTCCTGCAGCTACATGTGTTCCCATTTCATTCTGAAAATCTTTCCCATGTAAATGAGTCAAGACCTGCATTTCATTATGTTGGGAGCCTCCAACCTTGGTGCTGTTCTCTCCATAACACATAGTTTATTCCATCTCTTGCAGAGGCACACATGGGTACATGGCACCAGAAGTGCTCCAGAAGGGTGTAGCCTATGATAGCAGTGCTGACTGGTTCTCTCTTGGCTGCATGCTGTTCAAACTCCTGAGGGGGTAAGTGGGTATCATGAGTGAAAGTCCAGGGTGGAGAAGTGCTCCTGGGACGGGTTGGTGGTGGGGGAGAGATAAGAATGGCAGAGGGAGCTGTTGTTGAAGTGGATGCAGGCTTAGAGGGCTTGTCACTTCAAGGTTCAGCAACTGAAAGAGAATTTTTGAGGGGGTGCCTGAGAATGGACATCTCCTTTGACACTTCCCTTTCTCTTAATGCAGGCATAGCCCCTTTCGGCAGCACAAGACTAAGGATAAACATGAGATCGACCGCATGACACTCACTATGGTAAGCTGTTTTTATCTCTCAAGTTCAGTGGAGGATCAATCTTGATCCTAAATTCCTCCAGCATTGAGCTGTGTGCTTTTTATTCATTTGGGTCCCCAAAGTCTCTTCTTCCCTCCACAACTACAGTAGCTCCTCTGACATGGAAAGACAGAGCCATGACTCCAGAAGTCAGCATCTAGGTTGGCCTGTTGTTATACTGTATTCCTGCATGACAGGTCTTGGGACATCTTTCTGATTACAGGCAGTCCTCACGTTATGGACTAAATAGGTTCCGTATCAGGTACATTTTTAAAAATGTAACTATAGTCAAGACATTTTTAAAATTTTGGATTGCATAGGGAGGGTTAACATCCCGGTAACATTTGTTTTTTCTGTCTGTGCCCCTGTTCAGAAGATTTCACCTCATTTTCTGTCCATGTAGCAATTAGATTTTGAAAATTTTGGCTTGTCATGGAAATGAGGATTGGTGATAAAGCCTCAGTGGAGACACCTTTTTCTTATAACTCTTACAGGAGTGAATTTTCCTTCCTAGGGGTAGATTTCATCTCACTTCCTCTTGTCTCACCCCAGTTCTTAACTATGAGTCATATGGAAGTTGTATGTTTGTAACCTAGGGACTTCCTGTTTTTGCTTTTGGCAATTACCTCTTGCATTACTTAGAATTTCGCTAAAATATTTTGTTAAAATGTTCTCATGTCCTGGATCTACATAATTTCCCTTCCAAATCAAATATTCTAAAACTTTAGTTTGAGATATATGTGTGCGTGTGCGTGTGTGTGTGAATTCCAGAGTCCATTTTAATTAGCTGGCTGGCTCAGTGGAATGTGATTGTGTGGGGAGGGGAGGGGAGAGAGGGGCATAGAGATAATATTATCCACAACTAGCCTTAGGGTTTTCTTGCAATACTATTGCCTTAAGAACCTCAATTGATTGGGCACTTCCTATTTTAAGCAACATACTCAACATAACTAAACAGAAGAGGCGTAACAAAGTAATTCCTTTGCCCAGAGAACTTGTGGAGACAATGAACAGATGCTATTCATTTCAACATAGTGATAATTGTTTGGCAGAGCAGCCTTGCCAAAGTGGCCCAGCCATCAAGCAGTTCAGGCTAAAGGTGTCCCGTAGAGAATTCAATAAAAAGCTCTTGTTCAATGTGTTCCTATCCTATCGCGTCTGTTTCTACACTTGGAAATGTATATCGGCTGCAGAATTTCAGAATACAAATGGCTTCAGGTTTTGTTCAGATGTGGTGCTTGGGCTGGGCTCAGATCACTGTTAATAGAATATATATCTTTAAGATTCATTTTTTAAAAAAGTTACTTCCTTGGAATTTCCCAGCCAGCTGGCTGGGGATTAAGGGAACCATAGTACTAAAAGTAACTTCCAGGCTCTTGACATCAAAGAAGGGTTATGACAGCGAATCTTTTTTATTGATTTCACATGATTATCTTACTGTATGCATGTGCAATCCAATCCCAGGGTTAGGAGCTGCTTCTGCTTGTGGAATGAGAAATGAGCAAGGCTGAAGGAGACAGAGTTGGGTGAAATTGTCTGGTCAGTCACAGATCCTTATGTCCCGCTCTTTCTTCTGTTAGCCATTTCCTTGGAGACTGGTACACATCTCCCTTCTTATAGCAACCTGCAGTACTTGGAGCCGTGAGAAGGAAAACAAAACAAAACTCCTTTTCCAAGCTCTGTTGTCACCATGGCCAAGTGTATGAAGAGTTGCTTTTTCCCACCATTGCCTTGAGATTCATCATGACGTATTAGTTAGAGTGTTGGATTAAGTCTCTAGAAACCAAGGTTGAAATCCTCACTCAGTCATGAAACTCCTGTATAACATTTGACAAGTTACACCATCACAACCTCAGAAGAGCACAAAGGCGAACCAACTCAGAACAAGTCTTACAAAGAAAACCCCATTATAGGTTCGCTTTAGGGTTGTCATCAATCAGAAATGAATTGAAGGACAACAGGAACAAAAACCACTACCTTTGCCTCCCCCTGCCCATTGCTGCAGTGGGCAACTGAGACGCATTCCAGCTCCTTGACCTTGGCCTGAAGAGTGGTACCTGGTTCTGAAATAAAAACAAGCTGTGAAACTCTTTGGCATGTGGATTTCAATAAGTAAAAAGCCTTGAGAGAAGAGAACTTGACTAATGTTTAAGAAATCCGGGCTCAAATTCTAGCTGAGGTGCCATAGCATAACCACCACTGTCAAGTCTGTAAAATGGAACTGCGAATCTCCTACAGCATCAAGTTGGTGTGAGGATTTTGGACTGTAGATCACTTTACACATTTGAAGTGTTTACAGTAGTTTATATAACTAAACAAGTGGGATAAAGGCAAACTTCTGTTCATTGCTGTAACCAATCAGCCATGCTGTGTCCTCCGTGATGTTTTATTCCTGTCCACTTGGCTGCCCTACCAGGCAGACGATGTTCTATGTCTATAAAGCAAATTCTAGTTCAGTTTCCAATAGAATATTTTAGGTTCCTTCCACTTTCATCCACTGAAATCAGCCCTCCCTCCTTTTTCCCTTTGGTATTTCTGAAAATGAGGTCTTGTCTGATATGTTTATGCCACCATTTTGTTCAAGGGAAGTGCCATTTTGCCTACATGAGCAATGGCACACCAGAATAGTGGGAGTAAAGGAAATGATAGAGAATGTAATATTTTATCTATTTTATTTATTTTTTCTGAATTTATATCCCACCTTTCTTCCAAGATGGGATTCAGAATGGCTCATAATGATGAAATAGCACTTTCTCTTAATGACATTGGTATCCTGTTTAGAATAAAAACTATCATTATAAAAGGGCCAGCAGAATGTAACACAAGTCTTCCTGGTTCATGTCAAAGATCTAATCCAACATTTCAAAGAGTGGCCAACCAGACCTTTACAGTTAATGCATGTTCCCTTTTTATTGACACTTCAGTCAAGAGCTTATGTCCAATTGTATGGATCAGCTATGGAGATCAATTATAGAGTTAATGTGGTATAGAGGTTTGATCTGCACTCAGCCTTGAAAATCCACTGGGGGACTTTAGGCAACTCATAAGCTCTCAGCCTCAGAGGAAATCAAGGGCAAAACCCACTCTGAACAAATTCTGCCAAGAAAATGATATTTTAGATTTATCTTAGGGTCACCATAACCCAGAAATGACTTGAAGGCTCACAACAGCACATCATCTCTTAATAGCTACTGATAAACTTACCTATCTGCCCCCCTCTCTATATATTTTAAGTTGTAAGGCTGTGACCATTACTATGTCCTGTGACAGTGAATTCTCTGCATTAACTTGGTTAAATAATGCTTCCTTTTGTCTGTTAGTTTAATTGGGTGGTTCTGTGTTGTGGTATGAGATCGGGTAGCAGTCAGCGAGTAGCACAGTGCAATAGGCAGCTATGAAGTGATTGAAATATAATTGGAATGGCTCCTAGGTTATGATTTTGGGTTTTTGTGCATTTAACCGTTTATTTAATATATTGCTTGTTATACTTTTATGATTTTTTATTGATTTGAATGTATAATGTATATTGTATTTGTATGTTTATGTCTATTCTGGCATTGAATTGGTGCCAATTTGGAAGCCGCTTTGAGTCCTCTTCAGGGTTGAGATAGAGTGGAGTGAAAATGCAGCAAATAAAAATAAATAAATAGTGGGAGCAAGCAGAAACATATTTCTGTCTATTTTTATGTGATTCTGTACTGACACAAGTTTTCACGGCCACTGAAAATAATACAGATTTGGATATTTGGTGAAGCCATCATAGAAGTGAGCTGTGTGTCCTTAAAGTGGTTTCTACCATGAAACAAAATGGCACAGGAAGTTGCCTTGAGGGGCAAAGCATGTTGTTGTGTGCCTTCACATCTTTCAGAAGGTAACCTTGTTGTGCAGTGATTGTCCATGGCTGAAGAAGAATAGAGACTCTGGCTTTCTAGTGTCTTAGTGCCCTCCATGTTAATTCAAAGTCAGACAGGAGTGCCATTTGAATTTTTGACCATTGAGATTCCCTGGATGTAGTAGTCAAGGAAAGATCTCAGTGTGCAACTTTGCTGTTTACCGCTGGCATGGCTGCAACTATTTACTATTGACGCACAGAATCTGATTGATACAGTATGGGGAGAGCCTGCCGAATGGATGCTTTTGGGGTGGTTTCAAGAGCAGTAGCAGCTATTTCTGCTCCCTCTGCTGCTCTTATAGAAAATTAGATTTCATTCTCCTTCCAGGATGATCATTAGAGCTTAGATTAATTGAGGATGTAAAATCCCTCCCACAGCCCTTTTGCACACAAAAGAACTAGGTAATGCTGACAGCAAGGGGAAAAGTGAAAAGGGCGAGATGATGCACATCATCACGATCCACTGGGATTGTGATGCATCCGCTGCCTATTTGACAGGCTTTTAGAAACATCAAGATAAACTGGGAAGGGAGGGATACAGGGCAAGGCATTTAGGAGAAACTGGGTATTTGCTATGAACTACTGTGGTGGTTCTGTTGTATGAAGTGAATGATGGAAAAAATAACTGTATCACAGACACAGAGCGCCAACTAGATCTGGCCTCGGCTCCAACCTTCCTTGTCAGTGAAGACAGCAGATACCTTGCCTCCCCTATGGCATATTTAACATACTTAGAGGTTCCTATTCATCGGAGGGCTTTCACCCTGGCCCGATGCCACGCTCTCCCATCAGCTGTACTCGAGGGCCGCTACCGGAAGATCCCTTTCCCAGAGAGACTCTGCCCCTGTGACTCGGGTCATGTGGAAACAATAGAACATGTGCTCCTTCAGTGCCCGTTCTACAGGGATATCCGTGCCAGGCTTATCTTACCCTTGATAGACAAGCACCCAGGTCATTCAGGACAATTTTATACCTCCCTGCTACTTGTGGATACTAATTCAGCTACAACCTACAATGTCGCAAAGTTTTGTGCAGCAGCATACAAAATCCGCCAGGGAATGACTAGTTCCAAAAGTCAACTGTGTGTCCAGTAATCTTCTTCCCTGAATCTACAATTTGGTGATGGATCTGGGCATTGTATGTTTTTACCCTGTTTCCCCTTCTGCTCCCTCACCCATATTGTGTTTTTAGTAGTTGTATTTATATTTTTAATGTACCAAACATGCCAGGTTTGTATGGAAACGTGACACTATTTCCTGTGCTGGTCAATGACCGAAATAAATGTTTTGATTTGATAACTATGCTTGTAGGCAAATATCAAACAGGTGAACAGTAAAACCTCTGTCTGTTGAAGATAAGGGATGATATGTGTGCAAATGCAAGGTTGATGGCTGATCTAAAACTGCTTCCTATTTCATTTGAAGTTCTGTGAGCTCATGAATAGGGAACTGTTTTCCCTGCAAATAACCTTTAATCCACATGGAAGGTCAACTGGTGACTTCTACCAGTGGTAGGTAATGGTGGTCAGAACCAAAGGTGCTTGAGTTTGCAATATATCACAGCTTTCCTTCTTTCTTGTTTCTTCATTTTGTCTTCCCTACCCTCCCTCCCTCCCTCCCTACTTTCCTTGGAGCAGAATAGGAAATGACTTCCGAAAGGGCACTTCACAAAAGTAAGGAACAGCCTGCAGCATGCAGACTTCTGGCTGATTCTTGAGCCATGGTTTCCCAATCCAAGTTTAGCTTGTTGTCTCTCATCTACTCCTCTGACCAGAATAATAACTATAGTGCTGCTGGATGCAAGTAACCTGCGGCCTTTTTTGTGGAATTTCCTTGGGCTTCTAGAATAAGAGGTCTTGTCCAATCTGAATGAATAAATTGGCCAATCATTCTTCACAGCTTTCACCCTGAGATACAACAGTTGGAATAATGCCTCGCAATTTCTTGTAGAGTTCCTGCAACACTTCTTTTTCTTCCAACACCATTTCATCTTGGGTTTCACATCCTGCCTCCCTCAGCCCACCCAATCATCGTTATCTAATCCCGACCTCTTCTTTCTCATAGGCTGTGGAGCTGCCAGATTCCTTCTCCCCTGAGCTACGCACTCTGCTGGAGGGACTGCTTCAGAGAGATGTCAACCGTCGCCTGGGCTGTATGGGCCGCGGGTGAGTCTCCCACCCAGGAGCTGTGAAGGGTGTTCAAGAGCAGTGGAAGCTGTCCAAGTAGGCTAGGGTTTTAGGGTAATTTACTCTCTTATAGAAGAGAGAGCAGACCATTCACAACATAAAGGGACTACCTTTGACACACACCTCTCCTGACTACAGTTCAGCCCTGCCCCTCACTAAACCAAAATCTGGAAGGAATGGTGAACGTTGTTGTTGTCGTTGTTTGTTACTCACCTCTCTTTGAAATGGGGCACAACATAGTTAAAGACATATATTAGAACATATTTCTGTGAAATACACATATTAAAATGCATAGAACAAAGATTAAAATACAATAAACTTGAGACGCTAGTTTCAAATTCATAGTTAAAACTAACTGACATTAGCATATAAGCATATTTTAAATCTATTTTTTAAAGAATGTTTTATATATCTTGATCTTCCTTTAAGAGAGCCCTGGCTTGGGGGGAAGGGGAGGACAGAAGAGCAAATTACAAATATTTCTAATGCAGCCGGCTCTCCTCATTTGTAGGTTTAACTTTTGCAGATTTGATTAATATCGTCTCTCTGGATCATCCAGTGTGATGCTATAGCCAATATCCACCAGAAGCTGATCATGGTTTTGAGCTGGAAGACCTAGAGACTTAGAGTGAGAACATCTTGTGGTGGAAGTTCACCACAGAGTTGCACTGGAGGAACTAGAAATTCATAGAGAAATGTTCTCTAAAGGAAAAAAAAAACCCAGTTTTTTTTAATTAATGGTTTTTCAATTTTTGCAGTAGTTGGGTAGTCGTAACCCAAATGAACATGAAGGGCTAATTGTAATAAAGAAACAATGCTCAGGTGCTCTAGTTGTCATAAAAACAAGGTTTAAAATATTTCTCCCCCAGTTTTCCCCCATATGAATTATAACAATATATGTATTAGAGGTGCAGTGTGACTAAGAAATATGCTGCCATTTTGAAATATTTATACAAGAAAGTTCTGTCTTTTCAAAAAGCCCCCACTTTACCAGTATTTTGGTCCTGGCTTTGACCTCCCAGCCTCATCTATATGCCCCATTCCTCAGGGTCAGATTCAAGCCATGATCTGATCACCCAGTTTAAATTACCTTGAAGCAGGGATTTGTAAGCTCAGGTTTGGCCATATGCTTTGCTCAGCATGAAATCTAAATTAGAATCCAAAATGCAAAGAATTACAGAGTTCACATGTTTCAGAAATGAACTAGTTTCTAGCCTTTAATAGTCACCCTAGAAGCCAGAGAATGGACTGTATGGGGACTGTTGCTGTTATTACTCTTTATAACACTCTGCTATCAAGGATAATTCTTCTAGGGGAAATTATAGAAGGATCCCCTGCCTGGCCACTTTTGTCATAGTTCTACCCTTTCATAACATAAAAGAGGGGAAAGGGAGCAAGTTATATAATCCCAGGTCCAAAACAGCATGTTTCACACACTTAAGATGAATCTGTATCACCATGACCTAGCTGCGTCTCATGCAAGAACAGGCCTTATTAACTCATAACATCAATCTGGGGAAGTAACGCTAATCCCATCCACATTTGTGCTACAGGTGTCATTAGCATATAAGCATATCTGTGCAAACAAAATTTTGTGGCTACACCATTCAGATTCTGAGAATGCTAAACCTGAAATATATTCACTTGTATACATAATCCAAACTTTTTTATTTGCATTATTGTGTTTGCACTATTTTCTCTTATTTTCCCGCATTAAGGGAGTACTGAAATCGCCCTTTTTCTACCCACCATGGCAGGAGTTTCTGAAATTTCAAAAGGCATTTAAAACATATCTCTGGAGCTATAATTTTGTCTTTAAAAAACTAAATGAAAAATTTAGTAGACTAGAATCTGCATCTATTCTAGAACTGCACCCCCCCCCCCCCCCCCCCCCCCCGGGCCACCTCCAGAATTACCAGTTTGTTCACTGCAACAAAACACAACAGTTACGTGTATATCTCTGACGCAAACCAGTTACACCACATCAAGAAGGCAAAGGCGGGTAAAAGCTAACAGGTGCAAAAGCGGCTATATTTCTGATACCCTTTAAAATAAATTGTTGGAGCAGCGGGAGAGTTCTCAAGAGAAATTGCCCAATAATTCAATTGACACCAAAATTGATATATTGTTATCCCCCAAATTCCCTGTCACCCTGGTTCAACTATTGTGTGCTCTGGAAAGGTTCAGTATTACATGTTGTATGTTTTCTACAGGGCACTTGAGGTAAAGGAGAGTCCCTTTTTCCAGGGTCTGGACTGGCAAATGGTTTTCCTCCAGAAGGTAAGCCGAGCAACCAGGGTGGAAGCCCAGTGATGGTGGTGGAATAAAAGTTCCATACAAGGAAGGGAAGGGTCCTCTTTTGACCCTTTGCTAATTTTTGCCATTGTGTCTTCTTAGTACCCACCCCCTTTGATCCCACCACGTGGGGAGGTGAATGCAGCAGATGCTTTTGACATAGGTTCTTTTGACGAAGAGGACACCAAAGGAATCAAGGTACCTAGACTTATATCCCAGAGTCATAGCTTATTATTCTATTTAGCAGGTACAGCTTTCTCCTCCTTTCACTAGCTTGAAGATATCACAGGTTAAAAAATGAATTGTTCCATATTCTTTCCGAAACAGGAACTCAGAAATCGAGCGAGTTGCAAAACACATTGTGGAAGCTCAGGCAACAGTACTGTGTTTTCATGAGGAATAATGATTCAGCCTAGATTGCATTAGTTGAATTAGACCACTCAGAGATCACTAGAAACCTCAGGAGGACAGCATGTTGTAGATCACTATACCTTCTTTGTTTGCAACGTTTGCAGCTACACTTTCTCTGAACACGGAGGTTCCATTTATCACAACTAAAAATTAACTGTTTACTGTTTTGTAGGACTATCTACAAAACTATCTACATGGAGCCCCCGGTGGCGCAGCGGGTTAAACCACTGAGCTGCTGAACTTGCTGACCAAAAGGTCAGTGGTTTGAATCTGGGGAGCAGGGTGAGCTCCTGCTGTTAGCCCCAGCTTCTGCCAACCTAGCAGTTTGAAAACATGCAAATGTGAGTAGATCAATAGATACTGCTCCAGCGGGAAGGTAATGGCACTCCATGCAGTCATGCCGGTCACATGACCTAGGAGGTGGCTTAAAAATGGAGATGAGCACCACCCCCCAGAGTCCGACTCAACTAGACCAAATATCAAGGGGAAATCTTTACCTTTTAGGACTATCTAAACCCATGGAGGGCCTTTTATGATGATTTTCACACATTGAACAGGTTGAAAATTTCTTGAAGAGGGATGTCCAGGCAAAGAGAAATTGTTACTGTTTGAGAGTTATTTGTAATATGGTTGCTGTATCTTCTCTTTCCTTCCATCACCCTCCACATATGTTAACCACAGGATTTAATTAATAATTGTCCATAGCTGATAGAAAACCAATGGCAGAGTTTCAGGAAGCCATAATATATTTCTGGAGCCTGCTGGCTTGCAGTGAAACATGGTTTAGACAAAATGTCTATCCGACTCAGCAAAACACCTTGAGAGCAAAGAAAACCTGCCTTTTGCTGGTTTGGTATTAGTTGGGTTTTGCTTGGGTGGTTTGCATACATTTCCAGGTGGAAATGAGAAACTAGAGGTAGCTGAAAAACAGATTGAAAAGTATCTCAGAAAAGTAAGAGAGATAGGATTTCAAATGCCTAAAAGAAGTTGAGTAGGGAGAGTAATGTAGAAGATGGAAGTAGAAAAGTTGGGCCATATAAATGAAGTCGCTTTACTTCTGATATCAGTGAAAAGGAAAAAGAACTGGAATAGAATGTGGTAGAATGTGTCCCAAAGCCAAATGAATTAAAAGGCTTGGCCTCCTGTTTCCCACAGAGAACAATCGGATACTTAGGTGATGCCCACCAGTCAGGCATGAGGGCGCAATAGCACCCTTCTCCTACTGACACAGTTGATGTTCAGAAGTGATAATTCCTCTGATCCAGGAAACATAGTGATATAACTTGATTCTCATCTAGCTATTGGACAGTGACCAGGAGCTCTATCGCAACTTTCCGCTCACCATCTCAGAGCGTTGGCAGCAAGAGGTGACAGAGACTGTGTTTGACACAGTCAATGCTGAAACTGACAAGCTGGAGGCCCGTAAAAGAGCCAAGAACAAGCAGCTGGGCCACGAGGAAGGTGAGTTATGCTGCTGGGACAAGAGGTTCCAACTCGTTCCCTTATTCAGGGCAGCTCTGCTCAGTGCTGGGAGTGCTCCTGTTAGCTAGCTCTGACCATTGAAATCTAAACTATCTACAATCTAAACTATCTACAGAGTTGTTGTGAACTTTTCCCCATCTATTTTGGGGGGAAGAAGCCACCAGCTGGATATGATTGAACCTGGCTCAGCTCTCATATTTGTGTTGTCTTTAATTCTCTTTTTTCCCCCCACTTTTCTTGAACAGATTATGCTCTGGGCAAGGATTGCATCATGCATGGCTACATGTCAAAGCTAGGGAATCCTTTCCTTACTCAATGGCAGAGGCGATACTTCTACCTCTTCCCAAATCGTTTGGAGTGGCGCGGAGAGGGAGAATCCCCGGTAAGTGAAGAGCTTTGAACCATCAAGCTGGGAAAGGGCAAAATGAAGGTTTGAGTGGAGTGAGGATGAGCTATCTATGTACACAAGAATGTGGCGCTGGCTTGCAAAAGTGGGCAGGCGGGGAAGTGGATTGTAGTGCCAGGTGGACGGGTTGCCTGAATATGGGCAAGGGATGCACAACATACATACTTTTAAATTGGAGCTCAAAATAACTTCTTTAAACCAAAAACTTTGGATTCCACAATAGCAATCCCTACTTACCATGGAAGAGATTCAGTCAGTAGAGGAGACGCAGATAAAGGACCGGAAGTGTATCCTGCTTAAGATTCGGGGAGGCAAACAGTTTGTCCTGCAGTGTGACGTGAGTATCTTCCTCCCTACTCCCTGTTGTGTCACCAAGAAGAGAGTTTGAAGAGCATATAGATGTCAAAAAACAGCCTTGGTATTTGGGAACAGAGTTTATTTTGGCCCATCATGCACAGTATTAAATGGATCACCATTCTGAAATTTTCCTCTGTATGATTTATGTGGAGGGCTGTAGTTATAATAATTAGCAATGCTGTGATGCTTCTTGATAATTCAAAGTGCTTTACAAAAAAATTATAAAATAAATCACGATGGTGATATCGTTATGCCAAAGGAGTCATGAAATATTTTGGCTTGAAAAAAACCCTGTTCTAATGAATTCATAGACAAGGCAAGATAATGATCCAGGAGTCTCTAATGCTGCAATTCATTGTGTTTGTTTGTGTGCTAATACTATATCTGGAGACCTAAATCTCAGTAGTACTAGATCTGGATTCAAGAAAAATCATATCCCTATATTGCAGGGGGTTGTCTCCACGTCTATATCACTTATGGCTAGTTTACACCACTACATGTATCAACACATGATTCAGTCGTAGGGTGAAATAAGGTCAAGGGAAAAGTGAGTGGTACTTCCTTGAAGCTGGCAGATGTAAATTTCTTGTATGCACAAAAGGAGCTCCTGACACAGGGACAGCTTTGGAAAACTATGGGGGAAGATGTGATGTTACTTTTTATACAAGATTTAGCAGAGCAGAAACAGGAAGGTCAGAACACTTGTGTTTCCTGCTCCTCGATCTCATTTCTAAGATGGCCTGCAGTTCCTTTCTGAAAATCTGTGGACTGTAGACAAAGGGAAGTTTGGGGGAAGGAGGACAGGAAGGAAATAACTTGTTATGTTTACAAGGCTAGTTCAGTTTTGGTATGTTCTAAAGAGCTTGCATGGGCTTTATAACAATAGAATAACTAATACATCGTAAGTAGATCTGTAGTATTTAGCTGCATTTGAATAGAAATGAGCAAATTGCAGCCCTCCAGTTGTGGCTGGAATGCAGTACCCCTCATTCCTCACATTGACTATATTGGCTAGAGCTTTTAGGAATTATACTGAAAAATCTAGAGGGCTGCAATTTTTCCCAAATTCAGGGCTGCATATATTGACCATATTGTGAGACTATCAATTTATGTGGTTGGACCTCAACTACCGCTAACCCTATTAAAGTGCTCTCTGACCTTTTAGTAGACCCTTGCTGCTCCTTTTCAAGGTCTACACAAAGCAAGTGAACATTATGGTCAAGGTTAACACTTCTCTGCATCTCATTAAATTTAGTGGATTTTGGAAATTAGATTGCCGAATTCCAATTATTCCAATAGGAGTTTTTATATTGCTGACTATTAACTAATGCTCCAGAGGTTTAAAAACAAATCAGATGAGGTTTCTAGGGCTCCTCAGAATGCATTTGCAATTCAACTTTTTTTTGGTAGAGAGACTGCATGTAAAATCAGGAAAAGGTTTAAGCTCTGTATGAGGCAAGTTTGGGCAGCAAATATTCCTATTAATATTTGATTTCATGAAAGTAAACTGAATGAATGACATCTATGGCACATAAACACAGGCAGACTAACATCGCCACCCCACTGTCCTTCTAATTAACTAAAATGTGAACCAGCCTTGTTAGTTGAAAAAATGAAGGATTCTGATGGGCTCTTATGTCTAGTTTAGTTAAGAAAGTTATAGAAGAGATACTGTAGCTTAAAAGTTCTACTATCTCAGGTGGCATTTCAATTTTAACAGATAATACTTTTGTTTAAACCAGTGGTTTCCAGCCTTTGGGCCTCCAGATGTTTTGGACTTCAACTCCCAGAAATCCCAACTAGCTTACCAGCTGTTAGGAACTATGGGAGCTGAAGTCCCATAGTTCCCAAAGGTTGGGAACCACTGGTTTAAATTAAAGAGGAATAGGTCTGGAATCTTTGCCCATACTCCCATGTCATTATGATTTCTTGAAATCTACTTTGTTGTAATGTGCAGATCTGTCTCCATTGACAAATCAAGGATTTGTTAATTAGCCCAAACCACAACCTGAGCCCATGGTTTGTTGTAGCTGTATGCATTCAGATTTTTGCTTTAAACCAGGATTTGTGGTGACATCTAAACTAACAACCATGGTTTTTCTTTGGCTTGTTTATCTATGTGCCTACCATTAAGGGGGGAACTTGACAGAAAGAGAAGAGATGCAAAAACATGGAAAGCAACAGCCTGTTCGTTTGTACACTGTCTTTGTCTGCTAGCTCCATGTTATTCCTCCTTTTTCCCCATACAGAGTGATCCCGAGCTAGTGCAGTGGAAGAAGGAGCTACGCGATGCCTACCAGGAAGCTCAACAGCTGCTGCAGAGGGTGCCCAAAATGAAACACAAGCCACGCTCTCCAGTGGTGGAGCTAAGCAAGGTCCCGCTGATCCAGCGCAGCAGCAGCAGTACCAACGGCCTCTGACCCTCCTCGCCTTCCTCTCCCATCCTTAATTTATTCGGCTGGGTTTGTCCACCATGCCCACCCTCTTCTCCTGTCTCTTTTTGCTGATTGTTGTGACGTCCACCCCAGCCCCCTGGGGTATAGTGAGGGGGTGGGGCATCCAGAAGGTGTGGGACAGGTTTCCCCCCTCCTCCCATCACATGGGAATCGATACCCATTTAAGGGGAAGAAGCCTGGTTGGTAAGGTGGGCCTGAGTCAACCTGTTCCCCACTGAGCAAGGCTCGGATTTTAGATCCCTGCCTCTAAATAGGACCAACGTAAGGAGATGTTCTGAGGTGTGTCATGCATCTTGAGCACTTCCTACTTCCTCCCGGTAGTGCCAAACATGTGTTAGTGCACATAAGAGGGGCATCACAGAACATGGTGGTATGTGGGAAAGCATATCTTCTGTGGTAAGTCCCTCAACACTAGTGAGGACGAAGATCAATCTGTTTGACAATCTGAATTCCAACCCCTTTTACAATCCAGCACCAGGCTCTGAAGTCAGTTCCGCAGTAGATCTTGAAGGAAGTGTGCTCTGGTTCTGGCAGCGTGAACTCCAGAGTGTGTGTGTGTGTTCTTTCACTGCCACCAACCTTTGCTCGGTGAGCCTTGGTGAGGCAGCTGTTGTGCCATAAGCATATCTGTCAGGATTGGCCTCAGTTATCCCATGGGGGATACATTATAAGGAATTGCCTTGAAACTGTTACATTCTAAGGAAAAAAAACCATCTAACATAAGTGAAGGTTTACTCCCATTTCTTTTCCCCTTTCCTGTTCCTAAATCCAAGACCTTAACCCTTATGTACAACCTCTTTTTGTCCCTCTAGCTACTGTCACAGTTCTGACGTTTCTGACCCAGGGTGGCGGCTGCTCACGCAGCTGGCCTTAGGAATTGCAGTTATTTGCCTCTGCTGTCCTGCTATCTGACGCCTGAACAGACGTTCTTTGTCTACTGTGCCAAATTTCAAGATGATTTTAATGTCCCTCCCAGTTGGCCCAGTAGAGTATGTATAAAGCTGTCCTCCCTGCAATCCCCAGGCCAGGTCTGGACAGGTTCCCTGCATTGGACTTGCCCAGACTGTATTGTTGCCTCTTACTCTGCTCTTAGGGGGCAGGGTGAGAACTGCCTCTACTCTGCTGCCTCCACTGCCAAAGCCCACCGTGTGTTTCTGTGGAAAGAGGGAGGGGCAGACTTCATGCCAAAAGAGATTCTGAGCTGCTTGAGTCTTCTCGGGGTTGGGGCTGGAGTGGGGGATGCAGTAGCTGGAAATTCAGCCTGGATGGGGCCCTGTGCCAACTCCCAAGTATCTGAAGGATTCTGTAAATATTTCCGTGCCAAGGGGGCCAGGCTGGGTTTAAAAAGCTAGGCCCATTCCTCCCCTCCCTTCCAGTATGCCTTGTATGAACAGCACCTCCCACCACCACCTCCCCAGCAGTGTTATGATTTCTCCCACAGGATGGTGAGGAATCCCAAGTTGAATTAATCCAATGCCCCTCCTCCTTCCTCCATTTGCAGGGGTTGGGGTGGATGGCTTTCAGTTGGGGATCAGGTCTCGTCCCCACAGTCTCATGCCCCAAGCGCATGCGATTGCCTCTGCTGCATGCCTCCCCCTCCCCCCATGTGATGAGTTTTGCCTGTTCAGCCACCTGACTCCTCCATTCCTTCCATAGTGATATGCTGTGGAAGGGGAGAGGTGGAATGAAGCCCCTTCCTTGCAGTGTTTGTACATATTGATCTCTGGTTTGTCTCTCTGGGTTATTATGGATTTTTTTGCCGATTTTTGAATGTGATTTTAATGAGTGGGATAAAGACTGTTTTTTATAATAAAAAAATCGAAAACCCGCAACTGGAATATATAGACATTTCACTAACAGTATTTACTAACAGTATGCATAAAACATCACTGGAGTTGATACAATCTTATGTATGAAACTGCCTTGTATTGAGCTATACTGTTAGCTAATGCCTTTCACAGTCAAGTGTTTTTGTTTGTTTGTTTGTTTGTTTGGTTTTGGATGAATCCAAGACCATATACATGTGACGTATATCTTCTGCCATGAAGCTGTGAGTGTTAATTTTGACTCTTGGTAGAAACAGGCATGCAAGCCACATAGTTTTTGCTAGAAGACGAAAGAGAATGCCTGAATGTATACATATGATAGAAATGTCCATTACAGTAGATCACTAAAACTCTGCCATGCAGCATGGGTGAAGATCAACAGGCAGTTTCATGGTCTTGCAGCACATCTTAGACTGTCTGGCCATAACAACTTTTTATAAGACAGGAATGATTGGAATATTGGCCAGATTAGTAAATTGGATCCCTTTAACAAAAGATTTTTCTGAAAGCCAATTAAGAGTTTTTAAAACCTTTAATGCTGCTCTTCTCTTGCTTCTTGGGTTGTTACTAATAGTGAAAAATGCCTAACTGTCGTGGAGAAGAGAAACTGGTGTAGTTAAAAAAAGAACCCTTACTCTCCATCTTTAAAACTCATTCCAGCAATAGGCATTTTCACTTTTCATAGAATCACAGAGTACACAGTAAAAAGTCTGATGTATTATGTTGAGAGACCAAATGATTGAAACTAAAAAAAATGTGTGGTAGTGATGCAAGGGTGGTTCTGGAAAAGGTCCTATGGGGGAAATCATTGCCGAAAGTATACTGCAGACATATATGAATTATTGCATGGTTTTGATACCCACAGCATGATGTCTATCTAAAACAGTGGTTCTCACTCTGTAGGTCCCCAGGTGTTTGGGCCTACAACTCCCAGAAATCCCAGCCAGTTTACCAGCTGTTAGGGTTTATGGAAGTTGAAGAACAGAACATCTGGGGACCCACAGGTTGAGAACCACTGATCTAAAACATTTGGGCTGGAGCAGAAAGGGGGTACATACATCTTGATGCATACACAACCAGAAAAATACAAATAGCTTGTGGACAGGAGAAAACATGTGTCTCTTGTTGACAATTATATTGCAAATAATATAGAGTAACTGTGTGTGACAGTAAGGTGAGAAAAAGCAGGCAATCTATTAACAAATGCCCATGCAGCTGCAATTTGTGGTCTAAGATGAGTTCCTCAAACTACTGCAGCTCTTTTCACTTAGTAGGCAATTTGAGACACAGCTTTAGGATCACCAATACTATTTCCATTGCATGATCCACAAGTTGTACCCAAAATGTAGCCTCAGACATTTTGTGGCTCAGAAGGGACAATACAGCTCACTCATTGCTTCACTGGTAGCTGCTGCATGTGATCCCAGGGGTGTTGTAACCCAGTGCTGCCGCACAAAGAAATTATCTTACCAATCAGATTGGCTTCTTTAACTCCCTTCTTCTGAAATGTAACTATGATTTCAAGCAAGATTTTAATTGGGCTTTAAAGATTTTTTTCCCCTAAAGAAACATTGACATTGCAATCCTATGTGTGCTATTTCAGAGGTAAGCCCCACTGAATACAGTTAAACTTTTCAGGTGTAAGATGGGAACTGACACAAATGTTGACTTATCGAGTTTAATAAGCTTTCAATGGCAGATTTTCCTAACAAAATCATATCTTTTCAGAATCACCATATCTACCTAACAGAAACATTCTTTTGGATCAGCATTTAGCCTGCAGCAAACACACATACCAACTGTCTTGTTTTCCATTAAAGTAAAAGTATTACAGATACTAAAAATATCACTTGTACACATGAAGGACTTAGTTCACCTTTCTCATACGTCAACTGTGATGTGAAAATAAAGTCATTTTTCGACCCCCAGAGAACAAACAAGGTAACAACTTCCATAGAAGTGAATGGGCCCAAATCTGATATCCAATGGGGCAATATTCCAGTTAGAGGTTTCTGCTGAACTCCATCACCACACTTCAACAAAAATATTTCAAATAAAAACTTCAGCATTAAGTGGCTATACTGGAATTTTTCAGCAAATTCATTTCTATTTTCTTTATGCTTAACTGGAATTGTGATTTCTTTCCACAGATCCACACATATTGTAGTTGTTTAATTAAACTAATATAAAATACCTTTAGAGCTTCCTCTTCTCATAGGATACGAGACATAAAAAAAACAAGGAAAGGTTGCTGCAGAAACAACACTGTTCTATGGAACTTTTAATAACATTGGCTCTTGTAGACCAGAATGTACCGTATCAGATGTACGAAGTGGCACTTCAGTTAGCAGGATTTTATACTCGTACTTGGGCAAGAGTGGGACAAATGTAAACAGTGTACTTGGAAGTGATATGCAAACAGAGATGACAATGATAATCTCAACAGCTGCAAAGCGCAAAAACTTTTCTTGGTTGATAACAGATAAATCATTCCACTGATGAACTAGCTGTTTAACATGTGTGTGTGTACTTGAAAAGTTAGTCCATGTTATATGGTTTGAAAAAAAAACCCACACTTTTTGTTTAGACTACAGGGACCAAATCCTCTGATGAACTGTTTACATTTATTTCATGATGGAAACTGCCTCTAATGTTCCTTTCTTCAAGAATTGCCACCTTAACGTCACTGACAGTGTTCTGGGAGATTGGACAGGCATTTGAACATTGCCATTACTGATGACAGATTTATGTTGATTCTTGTGTGTAGAAACTACCCTTTTTGGTCCTAAACAGAATGCAGCAGGGAATAGGTGACAATGAGCCAGCAGATCAGATTGGAAGATGACCAAAACAGCAAATATGGTAGACTCTCAATAAACTGGCACCCTTGGGGATGGGTAGATGCTGGTTAAATGTTTCTGGTTGCTTGAGAGTTACTATTAAAATAGGCTTAACTAATGCTATACCCCATGTTATACCATACCATAAACTGTATTGACTTGATATGAATATTGAAATACAGTAATTAAAAGCAAATAAAGGCAAACTTAATGTAACAGTTTTACTGTTTTACTGTATAATAAAAAACAGCCTTTTATTTAAAGTACTATTTCTTCAATGTTTTTGCTGGTTGCTTGAGTTCCAGTTCACTGAGAGTCTACTGTATTTATATTACAAAAATTAACATAAGTGCATCATAGGATAGAAATAGTATTGTTACTAGTGTCTCAAGATGCAAACATGTTATTATCTTGCATACTTTCAGACTCTGCATGAAAATACCACAGATCTACTCCTAGCCGTTGCATTTATAGTGCTTTCAACTCATTGTTTATATGTTTTTCCCCCATCACCCACGTGTATGTATATATAATCTGACAATTGAGGATAACACTTCTTGCATTTGATGTAGTGGGCTCTGGTCCACAGAAGCTTAATATACCATAAATCAGTTTTGTTTTGAAGATGCTACAAGAAATACACAATAGACTCGGTGATCTTGGCAAAAACAAAACTAGCCATAGCAGGGCTAAACTCTAGAAAGGGGAGGTTTTGCTTTTCAGCACTGATTGTAATGTGTCTGTGAAGATTAATAGGATTGTTGCTGCCCGCCTCCCCTTTTTCCTAGAAATGTGGGAGTGCTTTGTGTATATTTGTATAGTAGGGATCTGGACAGGATAATTCTTGTCGTCTCTTCCAACTTTGTGATTCTGCGAAGTGTGATATCCAGCTTTTCACATTCTGTCACTGCTGAAATCTGGTGCATTCTGTGCTTGTTAGAAACCGCAGGTGTCCTTCCCTGCCAAAACTGGGAAAGGGAAAGGCATTCATTCTAGTCTGGCACATAAGGTTGCTTGCAAATTGTTAGTTGAGAAGCATATTGCTCAACCAAGAGGCTTGTTGACCTGACCGGTGAGTTCTGAAAGAAAGTCAGCCTCCATTTCCTCCAAGGTGCCTCCTCTTCACCTCCTGTGCTGCATTTTTCTCAACCTGGTCATGGGAAGCCTCTTGTTTACTAGAGCCTCTCCCAATGAAAGGAGGCCACTTCTGTTCAAGGTGAAGGAGGTGCCAGTTTCCCTGTCCCTAAAGCCGAGAAACAAGTCAAGCGAGGCACAGTCTGTAGACAAAGCTGCTCTTGCAATTGCATTCCAACAGTAATAATAGCTCAAGCTAACAGGAAACCCTTAAATAAAAGATTGGAAACTAGCCATTCCACCTACTCGGAAGTCAACATCATTGAGGTCAAGGGGACTTGCTCTGGAGTGGCGTATTTGACACCTCATAAGGATTAAAGTTTTCTCATCTTGTAAGCTAAGCAGAGTCAGATCTGGTTAGTAGTTGGGTAGGAGACTGCACTGTAGGATATATTTCAGGGGAAACCACTTCTAAGTATCCCTTAACTAAGAAAACATAGGTAGGTAACCTGAAGGCATATGCACCCACACATCTGACACTTCTCTGTGTGCAAAACACTTTGACCTAGGTTCTTAGTAAGCTTGGAGAGTTCTCAGAGGAGTTCCTCATTCGGGATAATTTTGGTTTACAAGGTGCAAACATGAAATAGCAGGTCTAAGCAAGGTGTTAGATGACCCATATTTAGAGCTGGAGGAGCAGAGTGATTTCTTGGATGAGAGGCGCTGGACTCAAGTCTGGCAGCATCAGAGCCACCTTGACTATAGCTGGGAGCTTTGGAGAGAAAAGAAACATGCTTTGCACATGCTCAAAAGCATTCCTTTACTGAATTATTTGCCCAGTTGAGAATTATTAGAAAAAATAGACTGCACGTGTTAAGACTTCATTACAAATGTATATCTCAACTGAGAAGGAGAGGAAGAAAACATGTACATGCTGGTATTCCATTATGTGTTAAAATTAAGCCAAGAGAATGGACAGAAATACACTCCACACTCAGGGGTATTCCTTTATAGCAGTGGTTCCCAACCTTTTTTTTTTTTTTTTTTTTTTTTGGACTGGGGACTACTTTGACCAGGGATCACTCTCCAACATTAGTACCAAAAGGGTTACAAATCAGTTTTTGGTCAACTTTAGATTCGGTTTGATTATTTGGGATGCCGATTCAGAAAATTGCATTGGATAGACCATGTCAGCTCTAATTTCTGATACAGAACATATACCATCCAGTAGTCGCCATCTACTTGCCCACAGAAAACCATATTTATTTATTTATTTATTTACTTTGCTTATATACCGCTGTATCTCAAGCCCGAAGGCGACTCACA